TCCCCGCTGAGCAGGGAGCCCGATGCGGGGCTCGATCCCAGGACCCTGGGATCATGACCTGAGCCGAAGGCAGACACTTAACCGACTGAGCCACCCAGGCGCCCCAGCCCCCAAATTTTTCCCTTAAAGTAGTGGCATCCTGTTTTCAAATGGTATCTTACATAAAACTCCCAAATATGTAACAGGTAATGGCAGAATCTTATATATGAAGGTGAGTGAAAGGTGCAGCCTGGGGTGCTTAGGTTCCTTCTCATCTCTGTGCAAGAGCCTTCTGTTCTAATTGCATCGGAAAACCACTATTTTAAGGGAAATCTTATCAAGGATGCTCATTATCAGCCCAAAATAAATATGACATTTCATCATTACCAACCTTACATCAATGAACAAGCCTATGGCCTATAATGATTATGTAGCATTATATACAATTAATTCTTATTGTTTGGAGTAGTTCTATTCTATAAAGTCAGTGTAAACAATTAGCAAATACTGAACCACTGCTTCTAAGGGAAACACGGGGTTAGGTTCCTGTGAGCCTCTGGTGCCAACAATTTTATCAGCCGATGAAGACATAACCTTGTTTTATGTGTGTTTCTGTTTAAAGACACCTTATTACTATATATTGTTGATTCATGAACACTGCACTCATAGCCAAAAGCACTGTCACTCATGCCTGAATGAGGCTTATTTAACTCTTGGTTTCTCCATAAGGGACATAACAGCCTTCCTGGGCTTGGAAACATCATACAGCACTAAAAGTTACAATGGGAGGCCAGTCTGATCAGTAAGATCACCAAAAAACCCCCATAAAATATGAAAAACATGCACTTGAATAGACTGAAAAGGACACTTGTCTGCAGTATGAGAACTGATATAAGAAGGCAGAGTGTCACCCTGCTCCACCTGAAGCTGGGAACATGTACATCAGGGGACTCAAATTTTTTGTCACTCTGAGCATGTCTGCAATTGACCATGAAAAGTGCCGTGGGTACTGATTTTGGGGGTTAGAAGTAAATTTTAGCAGGTAGGTGAATTTGCAAATACAGAATCTGCAAATAAGGATAGATGGTATACCGGCCTTTCAGTAAGTCCCAAATTAACAGGAGTGGCTTTAATATTAAAAACAATTCACATCTGAGAACTGTTAAAAGGCTTTTTTTGTCGGCCATAGAGAAATAAATTAGTAGGAGAAATTAAAGGTTTTGAAAGGCAGGTGTTGCCTGAAATTTTTATGTATTTTGAAATGTGACAGAAAAACTCTGTAAATGCACTAAAAATTTATCATTGACTTGAACACTTTAAATAGGTGAGCTTCAGGGTATGTAAAATATATCTAAGAAAGCCAACAAAAAATGACAGGAAAGGGAAATCTGTATTTAATTTTACTAATTAAAATGTTCTGAATAAATGTTTTGTTTTGGGCTTGCTATATAGAGGAATACAACATTCTATGAGGGAAGGAGTATGCATACGATGTTTCCACCTCTGCTGCACTATCCCCAATTGGAAGCCATCAAAAGCATTATTTTGCCTTTATCTTCCACAAAATTGAAAAATAAACAAATATGCTTTTTTGGGGGGGATGGCCATATTTTTTAATTGAGGTAAAATTCACATAACATAAACCTCACCATTTTACCATTTTTTTTCTCTTTAAATTTTTTGTTGTTATGTTAATCATCATATATCATTAGTTTTTGATGGAGTGTTCCATGATTCATTGTTTGTGCATAACACCCAGTGCTCCATGCAGAACGTGCCCTCTTTAATACCCATCACCAGGCTAACCCATCCTCCCACCCCCCTCCCCTCTAGAACCCTCAGTTTGTTTTTCAGAGTCCATTGTCTCTCATGGTTCGTCTCCCCCCTCCAGTTTCTCCCCCTTCATTCTTACCCTCCTGCATTTTTTTTTCTTAACATATATTGCATTATTTGTTTCAGAGGTACAGATCTGTGATTCAACAGTGTTGCACAATTCACAGCACTCACCATAGCACATACCCTCCCCAATGTCACCCAGCCACCCCATCCCTCCCACCCCACCCCCACTCCAGCAACCCTGTTCGTTTCCTGAGATTAAGAATTCCTCATATCAGTGAAGTCATATGATACATGTCTTTCTCTGACTGACTTATTTCACTCAGCATAACACCCTCCAGTTCCATCCACGTCCTTGCAAACCATTTTAACCATCTTAAAGTGTATAGTGGCTTCTAGTATATTTAAAATGTTCTACACATGTCACCACTATCTAATTCCTAAACATTTCCATCAACAATATGCTTTAAATGAAAATCATTAAATGAAAAATTTCATTCTAATACTTCTATAAATCAGTAAACACATATTATTAAGCACATAGATAACATTAAAAGTACCCTTTTAAAGTTGTAAAATAAAATTTTCTGGTGTATTTATTTCTACCAAAGTATACCCTTCTCCACTAAAGGATTTTACGGATTGTGAAAATTTCTATTATCACCAGGCAATAGTGTCAACACTGACACACAGCATGCCTCCGGATAAAAAACTTACAGTATAAGCTAATTTTGTGAGCTTACCTCTGTCAGCTATTCTTTTCATCAACTGATGCTCACCCCATTTAATCAGATATTTAAGGATGTCTTGTTCACTTGCCTAGAAGAAAAAATGGTTTACATTTATTTTAGTGAAATTAGACAAATGGCGAATTTCATTAATGACTTTTCCGAGGTCATAATATACACACAAGGTGCAACTTAACACCTTTCCCTCTCTACTGGCTGTTTGAAAAGTTCCACTAAAGCTGCAGTCCAGCAGCCGCAAATACACGACCACTTCGCATGTGTCCAGTAACCTATCTCTTGGCTCCAACTAAAATTTTTATTCTTGTTTTCATCTTTGTTTTTTCTTTATCCTATTCTCTTCATCTATTTTAAACTTATTTTACTCTACTACATGGTCTCTATACAGCTGCCTTAAATTCTTCTTGGGACAAGGGAGAGATAAATAGACCCAAGTAAAAGCATACAGATACCTGGTGATTACTATCTTCTGCAGGACCAGAAAACCCGCATACAGCAACTTGTTGTGGCAGAGAGACTGCACTCTGCACAATGTATGCCACTGACTGGTGAAGGGCCCTTCCAGCAGTCTGTGAAATGGCAAGGTGCCCCTCTTTCTTTGTACTTTACTGAAAATCTTATAGCAAATCTAGGCTGCTCTCCAAGGTTTTTACTTTCTAAATAGAAATGCAAAGCTTTCTAAAGACAATAATCTGAGAGAACCGACAAATCCTAACCTCCATAATGCACGCAGTCTGGATCAGGACAACGACACGAGGTTAAGGAACAGAAATCCTAAATAAATCAAATCCAATTACGACAACATCTGTTCTACAATCAAAGCACAGATGCTAAGTGGATTATTAACTCTTCACTGAATCTCTCACTGGGATGGAGACATTTTATTATTTTCCTAGTACAAATATAAAGAAATAGGTAACGGCTCAATGGATTTATGTTTTTGTAACATTAAACCTGTTGTATAGTTTTCAGCATAAAATTCATACAACCAATTCCAAAAAAATTAAACTTGAACATATGTTACTTGAAAGTATTTTTTGCAATATTTTAAATCTATTGTTAGTTTAAATTACCAAATTAGATTGACATATAAGTCAATGACAGAAGAATTTGCTAAAAACTACTTCTGATTAAAAATAAGTAGTTGAAAACATTATTATATTTTGGTAAGACACATACACTGAGTTTTCATAAGCATTTGAGTAGATCAGAAATTGAATACTACTCTTAACTTTGTGCTGCTTAAGCTACTGTCTACAGTATAAGTATCTGATACTCCACCAAAACCAAGAAATTGTTATAATGAATTAATGGAAGCCAAGAAAATCACTGTTGGGATATGCTTCTGACCTTGCCTACTGCCTCAACCCATTTGGTGCAGTTGGCTGGGACCGGGGCTTGTTCACAATGTTGAGTCATAGCAGCAGGTGCATGAAAGGCCAGAGAGCCAGAAGGCTTTTCCTGTACAAATTTGAAGAGGGCATCCCTGGGTAGGCTGATCTCTCTAGATAGGGGAATAATAGAGTGTAGGTGGATTTCCTGGTGCACACACGGATGACAATGAGTTTGAGAGGTGTATAAATGATTACCTGTAGGTAGTCAGACTGGATAGCAGTGAGCAGATGGTCTTTGCTGAGTTCATAAAAAACATCCGAAGTCATGACCTGGGAAAATTCCTCACAGAGGAAATGTAAAGCTTGTCGGTGCACCCATTTAGAGCCATATGGATGAGAGCTCCACTTGAGGATGGCAATTAAGGTATCTAATGAAATGCTCTCAGCAATGATATCCTCACAGCCTAAAAGAGAACGCAAATACTTCTTAAGATTAGTCATAAATATTACTTATGGAACATTAGTAGGTTAGACACTACTTAAAAGTAGCAATAGTAAAAAAGAACAAGGAGATAAATAAAATTTCATGGAAATCCCCAAGACTTGGTAGGATGGGTTAACAATAGGTAACAACAGACTATGACATCTATAGGAAACCTGCTGTTCAGTAGAGACAGATCCATAGAAAGAGGCAGAGAATCTTCACAATTGTATAAGAAAATAAGTATCTGTGCAAATCCAACAATTTGAGTAATAAGACACTATAGCGGAGAGCCCTGGACCACAAGGGAAAAAAGAGAAGGTAGAAATGACACAGTTGTGGGAACTGGCCAGTCAGAGAAAGGCTAAAGCTGGGAAACACAGTTCATGACACACTGGATGACATGATCATAACCGGCTGAACAGATGGGTGAAAATGAAGGTGAAGCAGAACCAGGAAATTTAGAAAGTTCTGTATCTCAGTGAAAGAAAATCAACTGCACAGAAGAGGACGTGAGAGCTACCTTAACCACAACCTATGTAACAATGACACCTGGGCACTTGAGCTGGGCAGATGCAAACCATGACATGGCTGCTGTAGGGCTGAAGCAAGCTCAGGCTTTTAAGATTCAAGCACAGAGTCCTGTGTCGCACTGCTGTCCTGTGGGGTGCTGTGTTCTGTTCTGGGCCCTGTGTTTTAGAGGGGGCACTGACAAAACGCCAGGATTCTCAGAGGAGGGCAAAAGAACAGGAGAGAGCTTGAGAGGTCTGTCACAGGAGAAAAGCTCCGAGCAACCAAGATTACCTGGCTTACATAAGAGAAACCTGAGGGGAGACAAAGGCGCTATCTTTAAATGTCTGACAGACCTTCCGGAGGCAGTGGAGATATGACTGACTTCCCTGTTGTTCCAAGGGCAGGTCCTGGATGTTAAATGGATGTTGAAAGAAGGGGGATTTTGCCTGAATATTAAGAAATTTCTAACAATTAAGATTTGCTCTCCTCTTGTCCCTCAAAAAAAAGCATCCTTCTAGAAAAATACAGGAGCAAAGGCTGGCTCATCACATAAGGGATAGAGTACCAAGAACCCCTACGCTGGATATGGAGCTGACGTCAGATAGCATCCAAGCTGCTTCCATCACAAATATAAAATCACTTTCAGAAAAGCGGTAACAGAGTATCAATGTGACAGTAATTTAATCTAAACATTAAAGATTAATTTACTTAATCTCAACATTAACCTGAGGTCCCGATAAGGAACACTGAGACCACCACAATGGAATCTGTGTGTAAACAACACCCAAAGAAGTGAATATGCACTGATGAGGAGAAAAATGGAAAACTGTAAACCGCTCTCATGATTTTATGGTGAGCCTTGCATGCCAGTGGCCAGAGGAAGACCTGTGTCATTCTGCTGCGTGAAAGCAGGCACTGGACTAGAGGTGAGGAGAATGAGTCAATCTGACAGGAGAGGCAATCTGATAGAGGTGTTTGGGCACGAAGCAGGGGAAGTTAGAGAAAAAGTGGTTATTCAAAAGGATGTATCACAATCCTATGAAACCAGGATATTGGCAGAGGGAAAGGAGAATTAATAACATCATATATTTAAACTCCTGAGAAGTTTTCAAAGAAGTGAGACATGATAGGAAAAAGTGGGCTTTGCAATCAAGACAGATTGGACTTGAAATCCCACCTTGGCCACTTAGAAGCAAAATCATTTTGGACAAATCCTTAGCCTCTTTGAGCCTGAAATGTTCTCATTTGTAAACCTGGGTTTATACTCCTAACTCAGGGTTATTATGAGATTGAAATGAGACTGTACCCTTGACACTCTTCATTTGTTCAAACATTCTGCAGTACCTACTTGCCAAGCGCTGTGAATATAACACTCTTTTTACCACGTCCTTTCTTGGGTGGTATCATCTAACCCCTAAGGCCTTAACTCCCAAAGCATCCTCATGACTTTTTTTTTTTTTTTTAAAGATTTTATTTATGTATTTGACAGAGAGAGACACAGTGAGAGAGGGAACACAAGCAGGGGGAGCGGGAGAGGGAGAAGCAGGCTTCCTGCGGAGCAGGGAGCCTGACGCGGGGCTCGATCCCAGGACCCTGGAGATCATGACCCAAGCCAAAGGCAGACACTTAATGACTGAGCCACCCAGGCACCCCCCTCATGACTTTCAAGATATACAGTTCCAGGGTGCCTGGCTGGCTTAGTTGGAAGAGCATGTGACTCTTGATCTTGGGTTGTGAGTTCGAGTCTCACCTGGGGTATAGAAGATTACTTAAATTTAAACAACAAAAACGTCTACATACGGGGTGCCTGGGTGGCTCAGTCGTTAAGCGTCTGCCTTTGGCTCAGGCCATGATTCCAGGGTCCTGGGATTGAGCCTCACATCGGGCTCCCCGCTCCTGCGGGAAGCCTGCTTCTCCCTCTCCCTCTCCCACTCCTGCTGCTTGTGTTCCCTCCCTCGCTGTCTCTGTCAAATAAATAAAATCTTAAAAAAAAAAAAAAAAAGTCTATATATAGTTCCAACACAGAGCTCTCTCCTGACTCCCAGACTCATTCCTTCAACTTCCCACTGGAGAGTTCCACACGGATATTCTGCAGACCTCTTAAAGGCCAATCAATTCATTTTCCTCTGGGAAATCTAGTACACTCCCCACCCCCCCACAATGGCCTTCTTAATCCCTGCTTTAGAGAAAGATACCTCTTCCTCCCAAAGCCAGAAATCTTAGTACTAATAGTGATTCTTTCTCCTGAAGGCCACATCCAATCACCATCAAATGCGGTTCATTCTATTCCTGTTTTAAATACATCCCCTCCACTGAATCTCTACCACCTCCCCATTTCAGAATCTGATACTTTCTAAACCCCGCACCACTGAAATAGCCTCAAAAAGTTCCCATCTTTCTCCCTTCCAATCTGTTCTCCATACTGTTGCCAGACAATCTTTTAAAATGTAAATTAGATTATATATGTAACAAATTATTCAATAGCTTGCAAATAACTTCAAGATAAAATCCAAACTACATATTCTTGATGGTCTGGCCATTGCCAACTTCTCCAGCACCATTCCTGTTCATATTCTACACTGCATTTATTACTTAGCATTTCCTAGAGTTCCACCAAACTCTCACCTCCAGGCCTTTGCATACGTTGTTCCATTTTTCTGAAATGCTCTTAATTCTCCTTCTTAACTCATCCACATTTTTTAGACTTAGCTTAGACGTTGCCTCTTTTAAAACCTCACCTTGATCTACCCTACCCTACCCCAAGCCTAGGTCAGGTGTTCCTCCTACCTAAAAAATGCTGCCCTAGTTCTCTCTATATAATAGCACTAAATCTTCATACTATCTTGTATTTCTTAAATATCAGTCTGAATCCTCTACCAGACTGAGAGCTCTTTTGGGGTAGAGGCCCCACCTTATGTCATTCTACAATGTCTGACATTTAGTAGCTAATCAATTAAAAGCAAACATAATAGCTAATACTTTCAAAACTTATTATGTGCCAAGTCTGTACTTGACTTAGAATATTTAATTTCAGCACTCCTATTCAAAGAAGGTGGTATGATTACTCCCATTCTGCAGATGAGAAAACTAAGATTCACAAAGATGAATGAGCTTGCCCAAAGTCCTACCGCTAGGGAGAAGACAAGCTGTACTTAACTAAACATAGCCTTCCCCTCCCGCCAGAAAATCTCCCCCTTTTTTATGCCTCTAAACTTAGGTCTTACATGAATCAATGCTCATCAGAACTTCACTTATAACCACTCCTCTTATGAACAGGAAAGCACCTTATAAATATACCAAACATGGTGATATTAACTCACAAATGTGAAAGGAAGTCAATTAGGCAAAAAATCAGAATGCTGAAAGGTATATTTTAAGAGATTTATCTAATATTGTCAAATGTAATATTTTCATATTAAAGGATTTCAATTAGTGGTAATATGCCTTTTGTCAAGGTTATTGATAATGGAATGAAAATGTAAACATAGCAACAAGGCTGAAGGGGTGCTGGCAGGGAAAGGCCAGCAAGCAAAATGCAAAAAGGCTTCAAACAATGCCGTTTCCTTGGAAAATTCTGGACCAGTCTTGTTGGTCCAAAAACATTACCAGCACACTATCAAAGATGGTTGGATTCCGGCTGACAAAGTGATACTAGGCCAAACCCCACAAGACCAATGTATAAAGGTCCACTTATGTGCAGTGTAGATGTTTACTTCTAGTGAGCAGAATGCCATGTTTGTAAACTATCTTGGGTCAAGAAATAGTTGTGTTTGCTTCTTTTTAAATTTCTAATCTGTCATGGATCAATACTTTAGTAGAAACCAGTAAAAACACTGCTTGAATATTGTGACTATGTCAAACTGCCAAGAAGTTTCTAAATGTTTACTCTCAATAACTGTACTTCCCTCACTACAGACATGCTTTGAGGAGCACTGCTGCCTAGAATCCCTTCCCTTCCCCTGTGCCAGTTTCAGGGCATATGACGGTGAAATTTGTTTCCTCCCATTTGCTACTAATTAACTCTCAGAAGGAGCTCTTTTTTCCCCTTCTGTTTCCTTACAGAGTTTATGGACTCTGTTTCCTAACTAGAGATAAAATGATATCCTTTTCTTTAAAGACAATTAAATTCATAATCAGAATCACTATCTTTTTAATTTTTATTATTTTTTTAAGTAGGCTCCATGCCTAGGCTGCAGCCCAACGCGGGGCCCGAACTCACGACCCTGAGATCAAGACCTGAGCTGAGACCAAGAGTCAGATGTTTAGGGGCACCTGGGTGTCTCAGTTGTTAAGCGTCTGCCTTCGGCTCAGGTCATGATCCCAGGGTCCTGGGATCGAGCCCCGCATCGGGCTCCCTGCTCCGCAGGAAGCGTGCTTCTCCCTCTCCCACTCCGCCTGCTTGTGTTCCCTCTCTCGCTGTGTCTCTGTCAAATAAATAAAAAATCTTAAAAAAAAAAAAAAGAGTCAGAT